TGTGTGTGTGTGTGTGTGTGTGTGTGTGTATGCACGCCTTAGTGTCTCTGCGTGTGTGAGCGTGTGTACCAAAGGAATATGGTAATAGTTTAAAGTATTTAAAGTGCGTGTTTTAATTCAGTCTCGATCTCTTGGTTTACCATATAATTATGCGAGGAACCTTCTTTACGGCTGCATTCCTATAATTATTGTTTAGCTACTATTGGCAATTTCTCTGTTTGAATCCTTTTTTTTTTAAATCCCCATTGTTTTGATGGGGGGAGTTGTGGGGCTGTTTAAGTTCAAGTGTAAAATGTTACCTCTGTCTTTCTGAATGTCCCCACACTGACGAAACAGCATGGGCGGAAAATTTTTTTTAACCTGTTTTGGAAGGTTTTATAGCTGGTGGAAGGACTTGGCCAACAAGTGCAAACTGTGTGTGTTTGTGTGTGTGTGTGTGTGTGTGTTTGTGTGTGTGTGTGTGTGTGTGTGTTATAAATATACAGTTAGAATCGTGTAGGGCTCTAACTTCCTGGAATATTTTCCCCTTCTCTCTGCTCTATGTCGCAATATTTGTCTTCTCTCTACCTATGAGGTCACCGACTGCCGACACAGTGTACCGAGTGCCTCGCCTTCGATGGGATGATTAGTTGCAGTATATATTATTATTATTAGGGTGTCACATTTCACCTCGTTTTACTTCCTGTCCCTCTGTGTGTGTGTGTGTGTGTGTGTGTGTGTGTGTCTGTCTGTCTGTCTGTCTGTCAGTCTGTCCGTAGATCTGTCTGTCTGTGTGTCGGTCTATCTGTCTTCTGACTGACTGTCTGTTTGTCTGTCTGCCTGTCCATCCGTCTGCATATGTGTCTGTCCTTCTTTCTATCTGTCCGTCTGTCTGCCCCCCTACCCTTTCCCCCTCTCTCTCTCCCTCCTTCTTTCTTTCTGTCTTTCCCTCTCTCTCTCTCTCTCTCTCTCTCTCCTGACGTTGAGGTGTAAGAGTGTATAAGTTACAAGGAAGTATATTTTGTCACTACAGTATATTTCCTATTAATACACTGGCCTGTGACGTGCGTCCCCAGTTTCACCTAACAGGAAGCTATTGTGCTTTTAACGTACAACACCCTGCCCCCCCTTCCCCTCCCACATAAAAGACATTTGACTTCGAACAGCGTCTACGGAGTTTCTCGGTCTTTCTGTTTGGGAAGTTGTATCCCTCTCAGCCTGCTTGGGTGGTTGGCGGGTGCTCTGGTGTGGTTTGCTTATTCTTTCTCTATCAAACATCTATCGTCCTTATCCCCCCCCCCCCAAGTGGGTGGTTGGCGGGTGCTCTGGTGTGGCTTGCTCCTTCTTTCCTAAAAAAAAAAAAATTTAATCTATCGTCTCTTTGTTACTGGTTACATGGTTTTTAACGTTAGTTTTAGTAATAAGAGTTTTACGCACTTGCAACACAGTAGGTTCATGTAAGTGACAACGAGTAAAAGAGTTACAAGAGAGTAACAAACAAAAGAAAAGAAGGAAGAAAGTACTTCTGTTTTTGTATTTGTTTACTCTCTTGTAACGCCTTTAATCTTCGGCACATATATGACCATATTGTATTATTGTAAGCAAGTGCCGTAAAACTCTTACTAAAACTACCCCCCTCTCTTTCTCTCTCTCTCTCTCTCTCTCTCTCTCTCTCTCTCTCTCTCTCCCTCCCTCCCCTGACAAGAATATTTCCTATTAATATACTTTCCTGTGACATGCGTCCCCAGTTTCACCTTACAGGAAGCTATTGTGCTTTTAACGTGCAACACCCCCCCCCCTGCCCCCTTTACATCCCACATAAAAGGCATTCGAATTCGAACAGCGTCTATGGTGTAGCGGCTATGTGCTTCACTGTCGCACGCAGGAGACTCGAGTTCCACTTCCGTGTGGGGAGAAGGTTTATCGCGTTTCAAGGCCTTTCTGTTTGGGAAGTTGTATCCCTCTCAGCCTGCGTGGGTGGTTGGCGGGTGCTCTGGTGTGGTTTGCTTATATTCTTTCCTATCAAAAGTCTGTCGTCCTTATCTCCCCTTCTTCTTTTTTATGTTTGTTACTCTCTTGTAACACCTGTAATCTTCTGGAGCTCATATGACCTTATGCAGTTGCGGGGGCCGTAAAACCTCTACCAAAACTAAAACTATCTCAGCCTACGTTGGCCCTGACAGGCAGAGTGGGTGGTTGGCGGGTGCTCTGGTGTGGTTTGCTTATTCTTTCCCAATCAAACATCTGTCGTCCTTATCTCCTCCCCTCCTTCTTTTTTGTGTTTGTTACTCTCTTGTAACACCTCTAATCTTCTGGTGCTCATATGACCTTATGCTGTTGCGAGCGCCGTAAAACCTCTACTAAAACTAAACTATCTCCCCTCCTTTTTTGTGTTTGTTACTCTCTTGTAACACCTCTAATCTTAGGCACTTATATGACCTTATTGTGTTGCAAGTGCCGTAAAACACTTACTAAAACTAAAAATCTCAGTCTGCGTTGGCTCTGAAGCGCAAGAGGAAAAAAAACAACCCAACAAACATTTAAAAAACCCAAGAGACTGACAGCACATTGTCCAGAAGAAGTAATTACTCACGGGTCGGAAGCCCGCCTCTTAAATGATCTAAATTGTGTCGATGGCAGGGGTAAAGCACCCACATACATTTGTGGGGGAAGTATAAGCATCTTGCCTGAATGGACGAAGCAGTTTCAAACCACGTAAGTGGGTGGTTGGTGGGTGCTCTGGTGTGGTTTGCTCCTTCTTGTCTTTGCTTTCAAACATCTGTCGTTCTTATCTCTCGGACTTTCCTCCTTCTTTTCTTTTGTTTGTTACTCTCTTGTAACTCTTTTACTCGTTGTCACTTACATTAACCTACTGTGTTGCAAGTGCGTAAAACTCTTATTACTAAAACTAACTTTAAAAACCATATAACCAGTAACGAAAAAAACAACAACAACATACTGAAACGACATTAGGGAAGTTTGTAATTTTTCCAAAGCCAGCCGTTGTCTCGTTTTACCTAATTGTCTCGTTTTACCTAATGTCGTAATGCTATACGACATTCCACAGGGGGCTGGCATGAAACGAAATGATGTCTTTCTTTCGATGTTTCTATTTTCCTTCCCTCTTCCACTGTGTGTGTGTAGTCCTATGGGTTATTGTGTTCCAGCATTCTCTCTCTCTCTCTCTCTCTCTCTCTCTCTCTCTCTC